CTAATTTTGACTATTTTGAAGGACACAACTGAAGTAAAAGAGCTTACATTAAGTTAAGAAAAACACAAACGTGTTACAACGTGTCCTCACACGTAAACAACACGGTGGGAACACGATCGGCTAATTGCACATCCACCGGTCGCCATTGGAACGTGTTAACAACACGTAAGCACGTGTAGGAACGTGTTACATATGATTTTATGCAAATGATCAATAATTTTGTTCTGGCTCATTGTTTGTATGTGCAAGACATGAAAATCAACGAACCTTAAATACAAAGTTTAGTCTGTTCAAAGAATTTACAGATTTAGCTGATTAAGCCTAAATGATAATAATAATTTAGTAATTTTAAGATTCAGTAAGTATTGATATTTCTCTTTAGTCTTTGAAAATAAAAGATCATGCTTATATTTTATCCACTTTTATTAGTTATTTGTTTGATATTATGTATGTATTTTTATGCATGTTTTTAATGTTTTTAAAAAAATTAAGGGAGGAACATTGAAAGACCAGTTTGTCCTCCTAAAAAGGCAATAAAACGGCATGGATCGCGGAAGCGGGGGCTGGTTTACTTTATGGGTTACTTTGAGGTCTGGTAAAAATTTGACACACAAAAATAGATCTACATATGCACTACATGCACGATTAATCATTAAAAGATTAGTATTTCTGTGTTGAAAACATGTAATAATAAAGTAAGTATTGGGGTCATGGTCCAGATATAAACACTGATGTTTCAGCAGCCGTGATCAAAATGACTAAATGACCTTTAATAACAGTCATTCAGGAGAATTCAGCAGAACCTCAAGTAAATGACATGTTATTTTGTTTATTCATGATATACAGGTGGGATCTTTTTCAATTTATCACTCAGAACGACTTAGTCGAATAGCCTACAACGATTTTCTTTAATTACTTATTTAATTAAATAAGGCCTGCAGGATTTCTTCTGAGGGTACGTACAGTTTTTTTTTGTTTTTGGGAGGACCAAATGATCAGTGAGAGCAGAACGAATGTTTCATGTTTTAAACTCAACAAAATGGTAAAATAA